ACTAGCAGGCTAGTCACACTTCCTCTTGCTTCCTTTCTCTGGCCTAATTAGGTATCTTTCTGCACAGCTTCAAAAGGAAGAGTAAAGAACACTACCAGCCTGGAGCAGCTGAGACCCGGTATGAAGACACTCTCCAGAGAAGTGCAAGGTGTGTGTTTGTACCCCTGCAGAGAGAGGAAGGAACTGAACCCAGGTCTCCCACATCATGAGTAAATGCCCTGAGCTATTGCATCAAAAGCACTATCTCCTCCCCTGGTTATTTTAAAAGAAAGGAGCAAACTCCAGTCCAAAAGGGTTTAAATGCCTAATTCCAGGAGAGGAGTGAGGGCTATGAATCCCAAGTGGAAGTAGCCATGAAAGCCCTGAAGGGGGCATGGCATGCCTCTTCCTCAGCATTTCATTTTGGCCATCTTAGGTTGTCTCCACTTAACATGCCAGGTGTTCTGAAGCCCCTAACTTTCCTCAGGTACAGAAGTTTAGGGCCCTAACTATGGACTGTATATTTCACTCTGCTCCTCCTCCTTCCCAGTTCTCCATGTAAGGCATCCCAAGAGTGCCCCGCCACATGTGCTGAGAGTGCTGCTCCGTGCCTGTTCATCCAGCACCCCTCCCCTTGAGAACCACAATAGTGTGGGAGGTGTTCAGATTTTCCCAGCATTCACTGGTACAAATGCAGCCAATAACATGCAAAAGCTCTAGGCTAGCGACAGGCCGTGGCTGACTAGATGGTTAGAAAAGTTGCTGGGTGAACATTGTTGATGCTAGATGTAACTAGGGCTGTTACAAACTGCTTACTGCCATAATTGTAATGTTGACACATCTAACCACAGTTCACCACTTAAGAGTGTGAGCTACGGGTGACAGGCAGAGCTGTTTCCTCTCTTTCCTGAATTAACTGTAAGGGAGGACAAGGGTTTGACATCTTTGCTGTTACAGTAGGGTAACTAGAAGCAGCTTTCTTCAGGCATGAGATAACACTGAGGAAGCTTCTTTACCGTGAAGAAGGCTAGACATGGGATTTTGATTTCTGCAAGAGCTGATCTTGCAGAAAGCAGTTCCCAGAATTACAACCTTTTAAAATATATGTGTAAGTCCCACTGTGATTAGTCCTGCTTCTGCTGTTGTCCTTTATTGTTCCACTGGGACATGCCTTAGGAAGGTGAGTTGGTATGTGTGGCTCTGCCACTAATTCATTGTTAGAACTTCAGCTATGAGATCTTCTTGGTGCCTCCATTTCATCATCTGTAAGGTGGAAGTAAAAACACTTACCTGTAGTTGCTCAGAGATCCTCAAGTGAGGGGTGATAGCTACCCATGTATAAAGACCACTCAGAAAGACTGGGCTGCCAAGTCTTCAGTATCATCAGCAACCTGATCTTTAACTACATAGGATGCTTGACTCAAGAAGCTTGCACAGAAATGCCATTAAAACAAGCTTCCTTAGTTTCCATCCATCCAGTGCCAGAAATAAATGACATCCACTCAGTAGCAGGAAATCAGCTATCTTACCTTGCACAGTACAGGTGCTATGTTCACTGACCACTCCAGTGTTATTCTCCTTCTTGGCTGACCACTGATATATGAAAAGGGTAGTGTGGGATGGCCCAGCATCCAGAACAATGCCATACTGAAAAAAAACCCACAAGATCATACATAGATATTCTCCTGTTGCACACATGTTCACACTCTTGTTATTACAGGTTTGTACTACATTGCACAAGTACTCAGTATGGCCAGCTGCAAGAGTAACCCCCTGTGATTATTCTCCTCCTAGATGGTGCCTGCTGTGATGGAGTGGCTCTCTGCTACTCTAACCCTTTCTTTGTTTTTTTTAGTGTTATTCCTTTCTCATCTTCAGTCTTGATCTTACAAGTCACCTACCCCATGAATAGGTCCAGCCTCCTACCTGCTGGTCAGAGCATTGAGGCCGGACAAATTAAACTTACCAGACTTTGCTTCAACAAGCATTCCCCATAAACATTTGTAAACTCAGGTTTATAATCAGGCTAGAAACTTTCTTTAAATTAAAAAGTTGATTCTGCAAAAGTTGGTGGCACATCTGTACAGGAATCTTCTCACTCATTATGCACAAGTACATTTTTCAAGTCCTGCCCAATGAACAAGGGCCAGGCTAATCACAGAAAGTAACTACCTGCTGGGTACCCACTCAGACAGTTGCTTTCAGCATGAATGCAATGGTTGATGGGGCACAGCTGTGTTTTCAGGGCACCATATAACACCTAGCTGTCTGCAAAGTGCTGGAGGAAGTGGGAAATGAAAGAGGAAAGCAAGAAATACAACTGGTTGCTTTATGAGTAATGGGCAAGATGGCCCTGTGCCAAGAATATAACATGCCAATTACTACTTCACCACAATGTTGCATATACTAAAAGTGTCTAGGGTGGATACACAGTCTGGCAATGCTGGCTGTTGGCAGTGGGAGCTCCATTTAAAGCCTGTAATGAGGACTTGTAAGAATATGTGAGCTGCTGCGCAACAGAGAAAACGAGATGAACCAATTGCACAAAGTGCAATTCAGCACCTAATTCCTACTAAGTTACAATAGGAATGAACTTCCACAAAGATCTATGAAAATTTCCTTTAGCTCTTCTTACACAAACCAAACCTGAGCCCTGAAAATGCATTCACTATTATGTAGTTGCTAAATGGATGAAGCACTATTTGGCCTACAGTTTGGTTGCCCAGGTGGACACCTAAATCACATTCTTTTGTTTGTTTCGCAGTTGGATAGCTACACCTTTTAGGAGAATAGCAAATCATTTTGGTCAAGTGAAAGTTCTTCTCTTAGTTTGCAAATGCAGGAATTTGTGCAATAAAAAGGTACACCCTGATTATCCAAGCTGACAAACTTCCTTATACTAATGGTTATAAAACACAAATAAAAAAGGTGCATGCTCATGGTCAAACTGAACTTGATCATATGGTCAAAAACATTGTTTTGTGTTATTTGAACATCTTGCCTGTGGGTTACAACCAAGAACAGACCTAGCAGCTAATATTTTCATGCAGTGTCCCAACTTGAAAAGGTTTGCAAAGACCAAGCAGTTTTCAGTAATGAATATCTCACAAAAATGACCTTTACTAATACTGGGCTTTGCTGCAACTGCTAGCTGCCTCAGGTTAGAGGAAGTGATATGTAGCAAGCTTTGACTTATGTCCGTTTAGAGGGGAAAGAACAGTACTTGATTAATTTTGCTATTGAGGTAGTTTATTTAATAGTACAGTGTTTAACAATGAGACAACAAGGTACTTGTTAAGGACCTAAACAAAATACTCCAAGTAAAGCCTCAGCAGCTGTACTGCGTCCAGTTTTGGGCTCCACAATTCAAAAAGGATGTGGAGAAGCTTGACAGAGTCCAGAGAAGAGCCACGCGCATGATCAGAGGTCAGGAAAACAGACCTTACGACGACAGGCTGAGAGCCATGGGGCTCTTTAGCCTGGAAAAGTGCAGGCTCAGGGGTGATCTGATGGCCACCTATAAGTTTATCAGGGGTGACCACCAGGATCTGGGGGAACGTTTGTTCACCAGAGCGCCCCAAGGGATGACGAGGTCGAATGGTCATAAACTACTGCGAGACCATTTCAGGCTGGACATAAGGAAGAATTTCTTTACTGTCCGAGCCCCCAAGGTCTGGAACAGCCTGCCATCAGAGGTGGTTCAAGC